ACTATGAGATAGGTATGTGTGATGGACATGTACGTATGGTGACAATCATATGTTTGAGGGACAGACGTGAAATCACCTGCAATGAAATAGACAGACAAAGAGATGAAGTGACAAACTTGCAAACCAACAAATGAACAGAAGAAAGAGAGACAGAGAGAGAGGGAGGGAGACGGTCAAATAGGTGATGTAGTAAATGAATAGCAAAAGAAGGAAGTGGTCATTTCGGTGGATCTCATGGTTAATTAGGTGATAGTAAATTACTGAAGTGAATTCTAAATATGTTGAAATTCATAAATTACTTTAAAAAATAAGGAAGGATTGGATTTCAGGAGAAGACAATATTGACTTTTAATCTTACAAAGACCTTTTTTAAGTTCGTTTAAAAATTTTAACACAAAACTTAATAAACAGTAAACATCAAATGCCTATGTATCACGTACGTTAAAACAAATTAGTCACGAGCAGTATGTTGAACAAACAGCTGTCTTCGTGGGAGATGGTTGTACAACACTGAATCGCAAAACAGTCCTAAAAATTTAATTTACTACTAGGATAGACTGAAACAACTACTTTGGTTTTATAACCACCGAGAATTTTACACTCTTTTTTTCCACGAAAAGAAAAAAGACAAATAGCTGATAGTGAAATAAAATGTCAGTGGAAGATTTCAAAAGATTAAATAAAATGAAGACATCAAATTTGCAACAAACTATGAATATTTCACGAAACTTTAAACAATTTTGGGCATTGCTAGGAATGCGAAAGAGAGACAAAACTGTGTTCATTTCAGTGTTTCAAATTCAATGTCGTATAGTAATTTGTACAGCCTACCAATAAGCATTCTTTGGACATTAAGTAGTAATCAAATTAAAAAAAAAGAAAACAATTGTCAGTAATTTGAATTTAAAATTCGTCGTAATCATTTAGGCATGATATTAGAGTCCTTTAGAAGCGATTAAAATAAATTGAATAAAATATTTGAACACAGCAACTTGTTATCTGATAAAAACAGTCAGTCATGCAAATTGCCTTTGTAAGAAAAATTTTTGTCTCCAACGAAAAAGAATAACAGAAATATATGTATATATATATATATATATATCCATCAATGCATATTTTTGAATGCTAAATTTTTTTCTTAATAAATTTTTATGCACAGATATTAATGTAGAATTAAGTGAGTATCCTGCACTAAAATTATATTGGATGAAATGAACAAAAAGATCCAAATTTTTGATATTTTGAATTCATTCCCAAGAATCTGTTTTTCCTTCCCTTTCATTATTCCTTTCCTTACTTTCTCTAAAGAGCTACAGTTGATATCTTTATGGTCTGGACAGGGATGAATCGTATACTGATATCTTCTTGAGAAACATTTAACCAGCGATATATCTCAACTTGGCTGCAGATTTATTCCAAACTTCCTTTTATCACTTATTCATCCAGTAGGTCATCCTGTCATAACGCTGACACAGAACTATGAGAAATCTCTTCCCTTCTTTAATGATTTAAACCAGTTTGTTTTGCAAAAGTTTTCTCTGAAAGAAAGCAGCCAGTCATGCCTAAAGCGGTCATTCTCAATATTAAAAAGAATGAAATATGTATAATAGAAAGAAAGCAGATGTTCTTAATGACCGCTCTCTGAGAGACAGAGAGAAGGAGAAAAAGAGGAAGAAAGAGAGAACCACAGAGATGTACTTGGCAGTTCATTTTATTTGTCCTACGAACGAAAAGATGAAAAAATGGATAAGGGAGAAAGATTACATCTGTATTGAGTGAATAATAGAAACATTTGCTTCCATTCTTCTTCCACTCATTACAGAATATCAGAAAGAGGCAGCAGAGGCGGTTTTGAACTAAAAATGAAGAGACAGTTGTTGAGAGAAAGAAAAAAAGACGTCGAGAATTCGCGAAATACTCCAATCAACGATTGTTACAATAAGCAATAACATGTACTTGTTGTAATAAGAATTGTCCACACTTATTGTCATCACTTCTGCTAACTTCTGAAATTGAACAGGTTGAAAAAAAAGAAGTATTTTTGAGAGCAATAAGATCTGTAAATTTGTTACAAAACAAAAATATCAAAGGTTAATGGTATAATCTTTGCGAAACAATAGAAAAATTACTTTGTTCCTCGCCATCTTTCTCTACTTTTCAACATTTGCAATTTTTCACCAATTCCAATTTAAGAATTTATTTTTTGATAAATTAAGCCGTTGACAGTTGTTTTTGCTTTATGAGTTGATCAAATGAATTTCAATCGAAACTATCCCTTCCATAATATTTCACAAGAAAAAGTTGCTTCGTCCTTAAAATTACCCATCACAAGGTCAAATATAACAAGTGAAGGTAAGAAATAATGAAACTGGAAACACTACTGTGGGGCAAATCATCGTTCCATAATTTATTATTTCCACTTCATAAAGCAGTTGAAAGTTCTCGCCGCAGAGATGATAATCAATTTAGATCTATTCCGTTCCAAATTTTTTTATCCTTCAGCAATCATACCATTATAACAACTATGATTATCACAATGATTCGGTTTTTCTTGTGGCAGAAATGTAAAGTATCTGCAATCTAGCTGTAGTAAAAAACTGTTTGGTCATTAATCAATGCTTGTTGAGTATACCGGAAAGTCACACGAACTTAATCAACTTAATAAACCATTTTCTCAAAAAATTATAAGTTAACACTGAAATCTATCAAAAAATGCAACTGAAATATCTATAACCATTCATCCCAATTGTTACTATCGACCATAAAATGTTTTACTAAAATATTTTTTTAAAATAATTCCACATTTCTCTCGTTCCTTCTCATTTTCGTATTCGCGAGCTTACTAATTGGAAAGAAAGTAGAAATTGGATTTTTGAATCCCACATAAACACTGTCATGCATTGAGAAAAACTTTCATTCAGTTCAATTCATTAATAGTTCAGCAGTTGGAAGTTTACATCCGAAGTAAACATACAAAAATGAATAGTATGCGGTGGTGATCTTTCCGAGAAGATGCACCAAATACTTGAATTTTACCTGTATCCTACCTGTATCTCTAGCATCAATACGTTTTCTTATATGAGTAGTTTGAAATTAACGTCCATTCCAAAAGAAGATTTCTGGTAACACTAAAATACCGCTGCACATACAAATATTTTCCAAAGTTCACCAGGAGCTAAGAATATGGTAATTTATTGCGATAATATTAGCTCCGCGTTTCTTTGAATCTAACAATCTACCTTTCTATTCCGCTTCAACTTTTGAACAATTTATGCCGTAATAAGCGAGGCAAATTGATCTGCCTGAAAATTTTATTTCTCTGAAATACCGTTTCATTAGAAAAGCAATATGAGCACGTTTGACACACCCATCTAAAACTTTTTAACTTTCGAAGAAATGAAATGAAAAAGATCAAAACTACTTTCTATGCAACTAATGCAACTTTCCACAGTAACTGGAGTTGTTTAGTTATCAATGAACTTTGAACGAAGTTAAGAAGTGGAAACAGTAATTGAAAATGAGAGAAAAACCGAAGAAATGATGAAGTAGAGAGATTTAATTAAAGTTAGTGAAGGTAAGAATCACATTAGCAATGTGTAAAATGCGCTCCATAAATTTATGGATGTCCTCGTTACCACCATGATGCGAGAAATCATTAATGTGAAACGTGTACTACTAGAAATGGAGAATAGAGTGTAAAAGGGTAAATTTACTGCAAAGAATGGGAAATAGCAACGGGGAAAGTATAATAGCATGTGATTCACCTTTACTTCTTTCTCCTATCTTTTTGTTAACATTTTGCAATGCTCCAAAATAATATTGGGTATAATTTGAAATTTATCAATTTCCTTATAAATTCAGATCATCGGATCACAAAAAAAAATCTGTTTTGCGCTCACTTGGAGTGGAGGAAAAAATGAAGAGAAAAAGCAAGGGAGGAAAGAAAGAGTAAAATTTAAAAAAGATTTCAAACAGTCTCTGTGACAAGAGCTTAACCAAACCTCACTACTTGAATTCCTCAGAATAAAGTTGTCCCTAAAATGAATTTTATTTCATTCAATTTTGGGCGAATTAGTTTTACGCGTAAGATGTCATTGAATATGCTCATCATTCATTGGCATGACAGTTGCGCGGATAAACTAACTGTAATGTAATAGTGTGTGGAAAAGGATGATGACGAGATCACAAGCAATCATCTCAACTGATGAATAGACGACAAAATAATCGATGGTACTAGGAAAGGAAACCGCGTAATGAAATATCGGCAAAAATAATAGCTTTGTTGGAGAATATCTTAACTAATATGGAATAAAGAAAAGAAAATTCCTAATATAGTGTGGAGCATATGTTATATTAGAATAGCGAACGGAAATCGATCAACTCAATATTGTAAAAAACAACAACGAAAGGTCAGAGGTTACAACTAGTGCGCCAGATGTCACTCCTCCCCATTGTAGTTCATACAGCATGTTAAAACTCTATGTATGTTTGAACGGATCGATATCTTAAGCAGTATACCAGGAAATATTTGTTATCTTTGCTTCAGAAATTTCAATATTCCTTTTGTGTCAGAACAATTTCCAATAATTTGAGCCTAGGTGGAACAGAGGAAATATGATTGTTCCTTAATGTCATACTCATCCAATACAGATAGTTCTTATCAGTGAAATCACATTCTTATCTTTTTTTTTTCGCTTTTACCGAATAAAAAATAAATTTTAACTTGAAGTCCAGACATAGCGTCAGTTCAGTTAGATCTGAGGCCTTTTCCCAATTTCTCTCTCTTTCTTCCTCTCTCTCTGTACTGAATGATACAGTAGTCTTTTATTGATAAAAAAATTCCTTAAAACCTCAGTTCTATTTATCACCATTCATCAATTTTGATTTGTTCGGTTCTAACGGAATTCCCTTTTATCATCGGCAACTTTCTCGTAGAACGCCCTACTCTCACATATAAAAGGAAATTTCTCAAATGAACGAATGCAAAGACGGCAGGCGAAATGGGCTCTTTGTGCCTCGTTTTCTCAAATTTCATCATTCTATACCAAATGGTAGCTGGAAAATTCTTCTTCATTACATTTCGAGTAAATTAATTAAGACTTTCGCTTGCTTTACGTTAAGAAGAGTGAAGTATTTCATCGACCAAAGCACTTTTGTATTATATTAGCATTAAAAAAGAAGATTCTGAACTACAATGAAGCAATAAGTGCAACTGTAAAATTCGATATTTTCAGTTTGTTATTGCGATAAAAATTTATGGCTGATTGGTGTAAGATTCATGCAAAATAAAGGAATCAGAGCCTTGGTCTTCTGATGTTTACAACAAGCATCAATTATTATTCACTCATGCAACAACATGATGCTAACGAAGCATAAATCCATGCCGATCGCAGCAGCTATTCAAAGCTCATTTCATTGCTTATAATCATTTCATGCTATTCCCAATAGCTTTAACGGCTTTTTCATTGAACATATCCTGCCCACATTGTTAACTACTTGTCTCAATTAAAGATTCTGGGAGAGTATCGCCCACTTTGCTTGTGAAAGAATTTAACCATTGTAAAAATTGAAGTTACTGGCTCCTTTAATTGTTCCTGCGAACACACATATGCTCGTTTGCAATTCTCTCGTCTCGTAACTATCCTGGGATTTATTTGTGCAGCACCTGTATTAGCAGAAGGAAAAGCTGCAACTTCTTTGCTGCAACATCACAATAACATTCATATGCTTCTCTCTGTTTCCTTTCAAGTTAAATTCATTTTTCTTCGCTTCACTTCAATCAATTCATATCATATCCAGCAAATGCTCTGTTTTTGTTGTTCTTTCACATCTTCACGATTTCATGTTTTTTATCATTACATTTCACTATTTAAGCTTTGTGAGATTTATTTGCGCTCTTATTCCAACTTACTTAAATGTCGTCCTGAAATCTAAACCGTTTTTCAGATTCTTGCACTTCTTATTAAGTCTTTGAGATTGATGATAGAAATGTGCTTCATTTAGTATTTGCTATTTTGTTACTTAAAAGATAATCGAGTTTGATTTAAGTTTGATAGTCGATTCTTGACATTAAGTCTTACATGGATTGCTTTTGCTGATTCCATTTATTTGTTTGATATTAATGTGTAAAGGATCGATGCAAATGTCAAATATGTCAAATATTGTTAGAATTTTATAATTCATAGTATAGATTCCTAAACATGAACCGGGAAACGAATATCCTATACCAAAGCTACCTGTGCTTACAAAGATAATTAAGTGTGGACAACAAATTGCAACGGTTGAAATATTGAACATGACAGTTCGTAATGGGACACGTACTTATCAGTGTTGAGTCATTAACTTTTAATAATAGCAAGAAGTACACACATTGTAAATATTTGGTTTTATTACTATGAAAAACTGAGGTTGGTAATAAGTATGACTTCAGATGACAACAGGATTAGTTATAAAAAGGTTAAAAAAAGGTAACGAAGTTAATCCTTAATCGTAAAGCACGTGATGCCAGCTAAAATGGTATTAAAAATAAAATCTAAATTAAAAAAAAAAAAAGAAAAAAAAGAACAAAAAATGCTGGTGTTTGAAAATTGGAAAAGCGCACAGGTCTTTCAGTATGTGGAAGGAATGCAAAACTACATTAGCAAATTTCAACAAACTTGGCCTAAACAACGTAAGCAAGAATGCTATAAGGAGAGCCGGAAACCAAAGCAGCTCTTCTGTTCTGTTCTGTGATAGAAAAAGATCAGAAATACCTCAGTCAGTGGATTGAAAAAAGCAAGAGATATACAAATATAAAATAATAAGAACTGATATAGACTTCCAAGGTAGAATCTTTTATCGTATATCTTACAGAATCTTTTATCTACAATCTTTTCATTTTAGTATCGTATAGTTATGGAAATTGCTTTATGAAAAATGTGTGTAAAATGCTGAGAACAAAGCTTAAATAAAAGATAATATTTGCACATTTCTCTTGAAAAAAAAAAAAGCTTATTTCAAAAATTCTTTATCATTGCAAATGATTAGAATATGAAGTGAAGAGTTAGTCATATTTTTCCAAATCGATTTTCGGATTCGGGACGGATCAGTTCACTTATATTGTAGTTAATTTGCAATAATTTTACCTAAAATGTTATCAGGCAAATAAAATGCTATCAGCAAATACCAATTGTTATGTGCAACAAATTAAAATAGAACTGACAGCAAGGTTTCCTTCGACACAACCTCAGTTCAAAGGAGCATAAATATCATAAATAAAACTAATCCTTCATCCTTGCTTTTCAATTATATGTATGGTCATAATAACTTTCTAATGAACATTTTATCATCCTAAATTGGAATCATAATATCATAGACCTAAATTGCGTAAGATAAATGTATCCATATAGTGCTCAAATAATTCATATTTGACGTATGGATGAATTATTTAACAATAATGAAATGTTAGGTCACAAAGTAATAGCAAATGGACTGATTTCTGCATAGAACAAAGGCTTTAATTGAACTAAAATGATATATAATTATTGTTATCATTATAGTTTATTGGAGATTTTGGCTGCGATTTTCATATTTTCTAACTGGAAGTGCTCTTAGAGTGGAATTATTTGTTATTCCATTGGCACTTACATTACACTTTCCAAATGGCATTTTTAAATAGAGATTCTCACTTCCATGAGATTTTCATTTCCATCTCTTTTTTTCAATTTTTAAAAATATTTTCAAAAAAAAAGTGAAACAAAGCTTCATTGCTGGAATTAGAGAAGGATAATGATATTTTGTTACGAATTGTAATGGCTAATTTTGCATTAGACAAAACTATTTACCACTTTGGGTTAGTATGAATCAAAATTTGATTTGAGACAGTGTATCTAATCCATTTCATCCTCTGAATAAATAAATCCATTGAGCGCTATTCACAGTTTAGATGGCGCTGCTGTGATGATATTAAAGATGGAAAAAGTTTTGTCGATGAAATCCATTGATGTGCGAGAAGGACTGGTCGAAGAAGAGGAAGGAAATGTATGGAGCATTTCACTTTCTACACCAAATTTATGATCCATTCCGTTTTGAAGGCATTTTAATTTTTTTTTATGACTCGAAAATCAGCAGTTTTTTATTTGCATTTTGTTCGTTGTCACAAAAAGGCTGCAGATGTATTAAATAAAATATCGCCCGTTTTTTTTATAAGTGAATAAATGATTTTGCAAACTTTTAGCATTACTTTGTTGCTTTTACCTCTGTGATACTCGATACTTTATTGTATCTGATGAAGACCAAAAACTGAAAAATTACTAGAAAACAGTAGAAAATAATTATACAGCCACTATAGCTTAAATCTTTTAAACGCAATTTAAAGAAAGTGTTCTGAGAGCTCGCGATGTGTTTAAATGAGGTAATTTGGAGAATAGTTTTGGAAGAGAAAGTTCATTAGGATAAATTCTTGTTTCCTTGTTCGAACAGAAAAGAGTCGAGAGCAATTAATATATACTTCCTCACCATTTCCATTTCATTTTGCTACAATCAGCGCCACACCAACAATTTATGACTTGCTTGACTCTCAGTCGAGAATAAGAACGTCCCCTCGCTCCGTTCACAGTCGCTGTTGACCACTGCAGTAGTGTGTGTGTTTTCGCTAGCAGCACCATTTTTTGTCGGCTCATCTATGTATATATATATATATATATGTGTGTGTGTGTGTGTGTGTACCTATGTGTGATAGTGGTATGTCATTTTTGGTAGAATATCTCGCGAGAGCGCAAGTGCAGCTGAATGAGTGAAGGGGTCAGTGAGATTAGGGTTGTGCAGGAACAGCACATAAGTCCATCAGCGCCGCTTTGTGTGACCTTCGTCCACTACTGCTGTTGGCTGCCATTGAAGTGGAACTTCTCCCCAACACTTCTAATAATATCATGTTAACAACAATATGGCAGTGCTAGTTGTGCAGTTCTTAGATAGAGAATCTCACTGAGCTGAGTAACAGTGCTTGATTCCACTACGGTATGATTTGTAGACATCGACAGTCTATCACTAACTTATGGCTCAGTGCTTTAAGAAACATCATTTTAAGTTTATCGGATTCGGATTAGCACTTCAGCATCAATCCCTTTATCATCTTTTATCTCAACATTACTTCCTCTTCATTAGCCTTTAGAAATCTTTAGAAACTTCTTAAATTCTGATGGAGCAAATAAATCATTGTGTGAATGTTTTGTCTCCAATTTTCCACTATAAGAAAACATATAATTGCTCAACGCCATTAGAAATACTTCTTCACACTATTTTTCATTTTCGTTCCAATAAAATTATCTGCTTACAGTAACATTCATGTAATGCAATTACACTGTTCTGCACAATGTTTTATATATTTTTAAATTCATCAAGTTATTGTTTTCTTTCCCTTTTTTAAATTTCTGAATTTCGACTTTTTAGGTTTAGCATGATTTGTGTTATCACTAAAAAAAAAATTTTTGTATGGCCAGATAGCGAACCGAATCAGCATAAGATATATATCCTGCACAAATTTCAACGGATATTGAACAGTAGTGTCTGCGTGATTTTATCTACTCTAAATTATGTGAATTCGTTTTATCGCTTCGGATCGACCTGCTGTAGTTTAATTCATTGCTATCTCCCAGAAGAAATGAAGTCTGTTCTGAAATCCACTCAATACGTTGTGCAAGAGGATAAAGTGAACTGGTGTATAAGACCACATTAACTTCAACTTACTCACTCGTTACTTTTCTAAGATTTAGAATTTACTGGTATTCTCATAAATTCTTTTCAATATTCAACTGAAACTCAAACCATTATAATAAGGAGAAAGGACTGTATGAATAGTCTAGGGATAATGTACACATTTTGTTGTTCCTACACATCTAATTAAAAAATAAGTATTCTTGTCACAGCAAATGTTTCAAGAATAGAACAGATAAGCAAAAACTCGAAAACGTGAGAAATAAAAGTTGAGAATTCTCGAACAACGAATACCTTTATTTTGAAATTGAATTTTTAAACTTACGGTCATTTTTGCATTTTTTTAGTATGATTGCACTCTTTACAGAAAGGAGTTCAAAAAAAGCATTTATCTAAATTTCACTTTATTCACGTGTGAATCTAGTAATCCGTGATACTGCTCTACTATCAATTCACGTCTCTTCATCAGCGTCTGTAAATTACTGATTCTATCAACAAGGTTTCCATCATTCATAAAGAAGACAAGCCCAAGCCTCATTATAAGCCCAAGACTCATTTCACTACTCAATAACAATGCTTGATAGTAGTAGTAGCAACGAATGCTTCTCGTTCGTGCTGAAGTGATCATCAGCGCCCGTATCCTCCAATCTGCCATCCATCCATCCATTATAGACTTCATTAATGTACCATTGGTAGGAGTCTGCAAAATCCGGTGCAATATGTTTGACTTCCTGTCTGAGTCGTACATAGTTATGTTTTCAAATTGTTTATATATCATACAGATGATCTCGCTTCTCTCATAGCTAATAATTCCTGCCTTTTGCCGTTATCTTCTTACTCAAAAACATTTGTCACTGACAAGGACAACAGTGAAGATTTCAATTGACTGCTCCAAGAAAACCTTATTAATTTTGTAAACTAGTGAGCCATTAGCTTGTTTTCAAATCACCAAAAAAAAAAAAAAAAAAAAGAAACCATTAATTCGGCTATATTATGATTTTTCTTTCTATTTATCCTGAACTTCGACCTCAATCAATCAAATGATCAAAGTGTTCACCGATTGGTTGTCTTGATCTCTTTTCAGCCATATGATTTATGTTGTATTTGTATATGTAAATAATGCGTTGGTAGTGAATGACAGACATTTGGATTACTGTTCACGAAATTACTTTCCGTTTGACTGTCTCCTCAAAAATGTATTTCCATAACATTTGAAAAAAAATTGCTTTGAGAGACTGAACGCACTGAATCTGTACTTTCGTGTTCAGTTGTTCTCATCCATTGCATATTCTCTCATTATTCCTACTTAATCACCGGTGTATCCGTCCTGATCCCGTTTCAGGTATCTGACATGATGATATATTTCGGTTGACTTGCGCTTCACTTCATTTCACTGCCATAGTCTATGCCTCTCAAGTTGGTCGCTCTTTGGAAGCCATTTTTCAGTAATTTGATTGCACTTTGTGCTCGTTAAATTTCGGAGTCTTTCACTTTTTTTTTGAGGCTTTCATTCTCGTCCGCTTTTTGCTTTTTCACATTTTCTGCCACTATCTCTCTTGCTTTATAACTTTTTTCTGCTGCTCGGAAAATTTCATTCCTTCCTGTTGTCCTCCTTTTATCCGAATTTGCAATACTCCTGGCTTTCTTTTTCCGTTTCTTGCACTTTTTCAGCTTGGGCCTTTTCACTGGTGATGTCATCACTGATAATATTTTGTCTGCATTGCAGTTATCATTATCTTACCACTATATATCATTATCGTTATTATCATTCATCATCATGATTATAGATTTCACAGTCAGCAGTAGTACTAAGAGATGAACCATAATGAAAAACATAGCTTTCTTAAGTTATGACGACTGGAAGGAAGTAGTAGATAAACTCAAAAAGCGACTGATAAATTTTGACGCGATTTACCAAATTAATTTTCAATAACTTTCACGTTGGAAAATAATATATTTCGAGAAGGCAAAGGAAAATTTCTTTTTTCTTATTTTTCTTTAATTGAAGAATGAAATAACGATTATTTTATTATTAAATGACACATTATTGTTCTCCACATCACCATTATTATCATAGATATATTTATCACTGAGTATTGCGATCAACACTGTTATAATTATTATCGCCAAATGTTTCCAGCACTTCTCAGAAACAGACAAAATTCAAATCAAGCCTGAAGATCAATTCATTCAGATTTACAGTTGCTAAGTCATTATCCGAACAAATCCTCAGGCTCACTTCGGAATATCTTAAAGGTAACACAAAGAATATCCTCATAACTATTTCTTCCACTTAAGTGTTGAGTTCCCATCACTATAGAAACCTGTCGAACTAATCAAAAGCCTCCTTCCTTATTGTTCCATGTTTTTAGTAAAGCAGTGATAACAAAGTTAGATGCACATTTAATTTTAAAAGAGTGAAATGAAATTAAAAGTGATACCTCATTTTCGATTCAATATGACAATATGTAGATGTCCCCCTCTCAGCTGCTCTCTATTCCATCTTTTTTGTCTCACTTTGTGGAAGTGAAGAAATCGTAGCACAATATGCTGGAGAAGAAAAGGTGCACTGGAGATCAGGTGAAGAGAAATGTATCTTACTGCTCCACTACTATTTCTTTCCATCATTGTCATCGTTATTGTCACCAGTGAAATCAATGTCATCATCACTGCTGCTATTTACTCATGTTTTAAATGATTTAATGCTTTTTTTTATTAATAATTTTTCTAAAGAAATTAAAATTTTGCCATCTCTCTGCTTGTTTACATAATATTAGTTTTTCGAATTTATTCATAAATTCTATATTTATTGCTACGATAACATTTGACTGTTTTCGAAGTATGCAATGCAGTAACTGAAAAGTGAGTCACCAGTTCAAGGGTCGTGATTTTAGGATAGATCAAGGACTTTCCATCGGTATTCCTTTCCCAGAAGCCTACGCAAGCATAGTAATCTTGCTATTGTACCGTGCTTCAACTGGTTCAGAAAATGGTCATAAGTTACAACGTATTTCAGAAGGAGTCAGCTAATGACGATCTCTCAGTCGCTAATTTGACTTCATTAAATGAAATCACTCAACAGAGTTCGGATGAGATTTTATCATTTTCCGATGCTTACATTTCCAATACTTATTTGTGGACGTTGAAGACTTTTTTGCGTGTGAGCAGAACATTCTGCAACAGTGTGTTTATTTATAATATCTTAAAATGGATTTCTTTGAGGCTTCCCTTGCACGACTTTTGCTGAAATCAAATAAAAGTGAGATACGACGATTATCTGATATGCTGGCTTAAGCAATTTCTTTGTGGTGATTTGTTGGAGGTCATATATCGAGAACACACTCACACATAACATGTTTTAATAGCCAGTGGACGAAAAATAGCCATAAGCTGTGCAGAAGCAAACGAAGAGCAGAAAATGGTGCGAACAGTTACAGATAAGTTTAACGGTTGGCGGTGACAACGACGAGGACCGGTAGAAGAGCGTATCGACGAGGATGGCCCATTCTTCCCTTTTCTCTTCCCCTTGCTCCCTCCCTCACCCCGCTTGATCGATCTGTTCAGATCGCTATCCAATTCATCTTTCCTCATCATATGTACCACCAATTGTGGGTGTGTTGTGAAGTGCTGAGTGGATGTTAGCGAACAGAAAGGATTGTTATATGATGGTTCTGTTGGTGCCGGTGTTGGCATTGGTATTGGTGGTGGTGGTGGTCGTGGTGGCGGTGATGGGGAGCTGGTGGAGGGATAGGGTAGTAGACCTCTACTTCACATCACCACTACTACCATTACTGCTACGACAGTTTTGTTTTGCTGGTGGTGGCGATAGGGATGACTGACCGTTTCGTTACTGTCCCCTCTCCGAAAAATGGAAAGAGAGATGGTGTACCAACCTTACACACTCCCTATGTTCTGAGGTTGTTGGTCCCTTCTCATTTCTGTTCATCCTTCCCTCCTTTCCTTCATTCTCTTTAGTTAGGGAGTAATTTCCAGCTTTTTGACATATCTATTCCCTCAGTCCTCCTTCCCTTCCTCATAGATTTATTTCATTTTATCTATCTCTAAATGACTTCTGTTAACGTAGCAGATGAGCAAAACCACTACACTTCTACTCTACTCATTCACATCCATGTCATCGTTACCGCCATGTCACCCTGCTGCTCTCTCTGTTGCACTGGAGTGGCGCTAAAAATAGATTTGTATGAATTCGCACTTGAATAGTTCTGATAGCTGATTCTGTCACTTCTGACGTTAATGTGATACGTTGTACTCACGTGTATATATATATATACTGTATTCTAGAGTTTATATATATATTATGCTATTTGTTGATGACTGAAAGGTAATACATGACGTATTCCATTGGAAGTATAACTTTGTATGATATCCAAGTACTCACCAAACGTCTGCTATGAAAACGTTTAACGTTTGAGACAAGCGTTTCAAAAGAGCACTTTTCAACATCCGTAATTTTCTTTTTTACTTACCTTTCCATTCAGTCACATTCCTATATGTCCTCGCAGTACATAGTTTACATTTCCATCATTTATTCTGATCCTAGCGTATTTGATAAGTTGATGAGTCAGACAATAAAGATGCTTTTTATTGACTGAATGGACCTTGGAACAAACCAACATATATATATATTCCTTATTCCGTTATGTTGTTTATTTCTCCTAATTTATCCCCTCAGATTCGCTTTACACTCTCTTCCATGTGTTAACACTTGGTTCTGTAACTTTTTCTTATGTTTGTTGTCATCACTCTCACTAGTCAAATAACATGATGTCGTTTCACTAAAGCTGGTTTCTGCTTAGGTGCACTTGTTTGTTTACAGCTTTAGCTCAAATGATGCCGAATATTTGACACATTGATATTCATCTCGTCGCAGACATTTGCGTCTTGTCTAATGTTGATAATGCGTAAGCAGTACCACTCTCCCGGTCTGAAGTGTGTTGTTGTGAGGAAGGATTCACAGAGTAGTGATCCTGATCAACCTGGCATGTACAGGATGGATGCAATGAGTATAGCAAGTACCACTGAGCAGCAGCAGGATAGCACATCATATTGACATGGTAAATGTGGTGGTGGTGATGGTGGCGCGGTGGCTCCCATCGGAGAATATCATGTGGGAGTGAAAGCAGCAGTAAGTATTTCAGAAATGCATTTGTTTACCATTGAGAGTACTTGATGTGATGTGGGGCGAGTAGGCAAGTACAGAAGAGCAGGGGGAGGCATGAAATGCTGCGCATATGACGAGAGATGAGCCGTTTGTCTAAGTGTGGCAAATTCTTTTTTTCTCTTTTTCGGCATTTCCTGTCCTGTCTTTTTCTTGCGAGAATAATCTCCGAGAAGAATAACTGAAAAGGAAGCAGTAATTATTGCTGGCGAGAAATATCCTTAATCACAGTAAATCATCTTGATGATTATGATGAAGAGAAATTGCGCAAGCGCCTGTGAGATTTATAAATCATCAATGTCAACCACAAATTTAGTCTGGATTTAGGAGTGAGTAGTGACAGTTACATATTTGTTATTTGATATGATCAGCTTGAAAATAACTATATTTTTTTTCAAGAAACTGATGAGTAGAAACCATCAGTTTCAGGAGCAATCCGTTGTTATCTATCCTGTCAACACTCCTGGAAAGTATACGCAGAAGATGTCGATGTCCATTGAGGATGATATGTTCATTCTTTGTTTGTGAGCATACATTTCATGCATCCTGTACTTCAGTATTTTGATGCCAGTGCGTGTACCCTCTTTCTTTTAATTTAAATTGATTTCAGTGTGAAGAATAAAATACGAAATACTTTCTGCCTATTTTTGCACGTCCCATTGCTAATACACTAACTTCGAGCGTAACTTAATTTCCTTCATTGCCATTTTTATTACTGTTACACTTCCACCTAAGTGCCTAGATATCTTTATGTTCCCATGCTGCAGAGGACGGTCGCCTGCATGAAGTTACTAAATACCACGTAAGTAAATTTCGTCTCACAGTGCAGTACTGTACTGCTTACCAGTATTGACAAGTATAGGGATATCGACTTATTTTATTAATTACCTGAGATTGATTTGAGGTTAAATTTTTGTTTGTTGTTGATGTAGAACTGTTAAAGGAATCTTAAATATAATTAAGAGACTACCGGATAATTAGACTGTTCGTCATCACCCTTAATTCAAATTTTTGCTTTTGAAAGCTCATTTTGCGGAAAAATAAATCTTGGCGAAAAAATGTTTCAACACTAAATAAGTGCCAATAATTTGTTGCATTTTTCAGACAATGATAATATCAGCTATTCCGGAATCCTGCTCTGTTTATTTCTGCAAATTCTGGATTTGCCGTTAAGGAAGGGTAGTGGAAACAGAGTGCTGTTGCGCATGTCATAAGTTTCGGGTAGATTGAGAACATGTTTTCTCACGAATTAGTGAAAATTTCATGACGATCTTCAGTATGATCATTTCATGCAATAACAAAATATCCGGAGAGTTGATAGTATTCCGTGAACTGTTCAGTTAATTCTCAATGTTTCATCAAAAGCCTTTTGCAGAAATTTACAGCGGTATTTAGGGTGGCTTTAACGACACAGTCCTGCTTCCAATTTCGGTGATTTCAGTGATCAAAGTTTCTTCCATTTTACATGTGTGAATAGTCCATCCTTATCATGTATTTGTATCATTCGACTTTCATCTTTTATAGGATACTTCAGTTAGTTTTTGATGCATCCGCGTTGGATTTCTTGGATTTATATTTCGAAAACAGATCACAGATTGGAAACTGGTTTTATAAATGCTATGTTAGCATTTACATTAGTCTTTTGTAATTTAAATAGGAATTGCGATAGTGAGTAAAAACTAAATGTGGTGCAGATTCATGTGATCTGTAGAAGTCTGTTAAATTCCATGGTAGTCACGTTACGTTGCCATACGCTTTTCGTCGCTCTCGGGCTTGACAAGGTTATTTTGGAAATTTCAGACTTTTATCCTTTTCTCTGTTGCAGACAGCTCTAATGATGGCGAACAATCAGCGCGGCCCCTCCCATACTACTACAACTATTTTGCCCATTTCCTTCTAATATGCAAAATTGATCTCGTTTTCTATTTGGGATACTGATAAATTCGTGCTTGTGTAATCCGGTTCCTTGGAGCGGAAAGCAGCTGCTATCATTTGACTTTTAACTCTTCATCAATTGTCATTGGGAGATTCTTACGATTTTCTACTTGGCTTAAAAAGAGAATTGGCTAGCGGAAGGATTTTATACAAAGTTGAGAGATTACAAAACAAAAGAAGAAGAGTGCTAAATTGAAGAAGAAGCGGTCTCAAAATATCGTTCAAGGTAGGTTTGTGCCTGTCTGTTTTGAACTTGCATTATGACCATATGTGGTTGGTTAATTCAGGAGATACTAAATTTGTTGTCTGTTATAATCTTTGTGTACATCAGTTTGTTTCGAATTTGAGGACATAGTTCAATGTGAAGCTGAGAGAGAGGTCTTAGAGTAGGTAGCCTGAAATATCTTTATGAATGTAGTATCTAAGGATGGCTAATTTGGCTTAAATTTTTTCGATTATTTTATTGCTGTGTTCGTTTTTTCCATTATTTACAGTAAAAGTATTGGTTTTTTCTTTTTTTGAATGTTTCAAATCAAAGTCGATTTTGATATTTGATTCATTTTTGGTGGAGACTGAATCATGGAACTAAAGGGATTGGAAAGTTCAAGGTGTTTTGACTTTGAGGATGAGGTATCTCATTCCAAATATTAATAGTAAGTAGGTATTATCAAGATGTAATTTTAATTTCTAATAAAATCGTAAAAAATGTGCAGATAGCTTTCGGAATCAGTTATTTTTTAGAGGGAAAGTTAAGCCATCAAATAAATCACCTGTAGAGGTAATCAGTCAAAAATTAATCACTTGATTATTTACTGCTTTCATTTCTCAAAAATATTTCTGTATGTTGAAGAGAAAGGAAATGAGATGAATTATCGGTTTTGCGCAGGCACTGTTGATGACTGCGTTAGTTTGAATGTATATTTGTACGGTATGTATGAGTAGATGTATTCATGTAAATATATAATCATTTCACTGCAGATAAAAAGATACCTTAGTACTAATAGTAATAACCGCAAACTTTATTAAAAATATATGCTTTTGTGCTTTTCGAATTATTTGTTGGGTTTATCGTTGTGACTCTTCAAAAAGCTTTATCAACAATTATATAAATTACGGTATTTTATCGGATGCGGTTTTGCTGCTAACATTGATTTTAATAAGTGTTGAAATTGAAGAAATCAATTCTTTTCACTTGTTGTAATAACATATATTTTTTCCAAATAGTGATAAGGTAGTGGAATTATTGATAATGATGATAGAAATGTCTGGTGATACAACAAGGCCGACATTGACAAATGATGACATAAAAGATAAATGTAGTGGAGAGTTAGGAACTCAATTTCTTACTCACTGTCTACTGTGATATTCTAAGAATTTAATAATGATAAATGTGGTGACCAGTGGAAGATTAAGATAACATTCCTTTTTTCTGGAATCATTGTTGATATAATAATGTACAACTGTGAAAGCGTTAAACGACTGTGCATATTACTATTGTCGCAGGGCATTTGGCTGGTAACAGTTAATGGTGAATTGCTGTGCTAGTTGGTGACAACAGCAGAGCGATTCAGTTTTTTTTCCAGCATAAAAACTTTGTAATTGAGTATGCTAGTGTTTGCGTTATCTTTTTACAATGACTGGTGATAAAGAAAAGGAAGAATGAATGAATGAATACCTGAAATAGCAAGTAAAATAACGTGGCATCTTTGAATGGAGTCTTCAGCATGCAATTAGTGCGCGAGATGTTTAAATTTTTATATGACTCCATTGAGTATGCTCCGTGGCTAGTCCAAGGATCATATGGCCAAGTCAGCAGTTGTCCTCTTAGCGTC